GCTCTTCCCATCCAGCCAGCTGTACCTCCTGCGCCCGCTGCTGCCCCTGGACCAGGTGAGAGCCACAGCCCAAAGGGGTGGCCCACACCACTCAGGCCAGAGCTCACCTTTGCGTGGCCTGTGCTGTACATGTGCTAACGAGATACGTGCTTGTCTGCTGCTGACCCTGAGGCTGGGCTTGCAGTGCAGGGTGGTGGAGGTAGGACAGGACCTCCAAGGTCCAGACCCTGCTCGGAGCAGGCCAGCCTGGGGCAGGTCACCCAGGGCTGTGTCCAGCAGTGTGCTGGCCCCCTGCGCTGGAAGGCAGGTGTTGTGGCCAGCAGCCTCAGCAGGGACCATCACCTGCATCACTGTGACGAGTGCCCAGGCACAGCAGCAGGAGAGGGAGACCCAGCTCAGAAGTGAGTGGCAGGCACAGCTACAGGTGAACTGGCACAGATCTGGGGTCGCCAGGTTGTGAGGGCGATCTTCAGAGCATCCCCAGCACTGATCTTCAGCGGTGGCCATGAGCAGGTGCCAGGAAAGATCCAGAACAGGACAAGTCTGGATGGCGACCTCCTGCAGCCTTCATCAGTCTGCAGCTCTGGGCGCTGTCTGAGCCTGCTGAGGTTCATCTCCAAAACAGTCCCTTCAAATGCTCATCCTGTTTACAGGATGATTCCCCACTGGAGGGGAGGCAGCCTCTGTCAGCTGCGACCTGCTTGCTGCCAGCCCCCCTGCTCTGTTTGACAGCCCAGCAGTTCGATGGGATGGGGAGGGAAAAGGAGAATCTGGAGGTGGGTGGACACATGAGTTAAACTGCTGCCAAATCCAGCAGAGCCCTGGGTTGCCCACGTACCACACAGTCTGCAGTGAGTGCCCTGCTGCCCCTCCTAGCTAAAGGAAATGCTAACGCTGCACAGCCAGCTACTACCGACGCACCTGCACATCCTTGCTAAATACAGCACCCAGCAAAGCGCAGCTGCAGCACTTGTAAATTACAGAGGAGGAGATTCAAGCACGAGAGCAGGTTATAGTATCAGACGGCAACTGCCAGCAAGTCCCATTGCAGGAGCTTGTTTTCAGTTGCCTGCTGTCAGATTTCACCTGATCAGGCTAAACTTGAACAAGTTGAATGTCCATGTCCAGTGAAATTTTGAGAGAAAAATCCAGCTAAGCATTTCAGCCCGTTCTGAGAATGGTGCTCAGAAGTGCACTGTCCTGCTCTTGGCTTTCAACAACCAGGGCAGCCTTTCCTTTGGGAAGCAGTGCTTTCATCGAGGTGTTCTCTGTGCTGATCCTGTCAGCAGCAGCAAACTCAAATCTGACTGAGACGGGAAATGGTGATATGTCTCACTTTGCACATGCTCTGTGGAGACTTGTGTTTCAGCTTTGGTTTAGCTGCCGTTCTGGCTGCTCCGAGCATGCTCCATCCTGGGGCTGAGCGGTGTTTCCTCAGCAGCTGCTGCTCCGGGGTGCCTGGCTGGAATGGCAGTTTCGCATTTTGAAGTGTCACTGTGCTGTGGCAACGAGCCTCAGAGGCCAGCAGAAGGTGGTGCACGGTGCATCGCTTGGTGCAGGCACCAGAGCCCTGGGAAGGCTGAAGCACATAGCTCCATACCTTCCCCTGGCCAGGGCGCCCTGGCTGTGGTCTCTCTTTATGGCCAACTCGGGCAGCTGCTGGCACGCCCTGCTCCAGCAGGGACTGTGGCATGGCCAGCGGGCAGCTGGGGGGCAGCAGTGGGGCAGGGAGTGGGCAGGGCAGGTAGAGCCAGGGCTGAGGTGGGTCTGGGTCTTCCAGGGGGAGCTTTACCAAATGTGCCAGGAGAGTTTGGACTGTGACCCCACAGTCAGAGAGATCCTTGCGGCCCATCCTGATCTCCTCGGTGACAGGTGAGACATGGCCCCTCTGGGGCTCCCTCTTGCCTGGCGTGTGCCGGGTTCGGCCATGTGTGGGGTGATGCAGGGCTGTGGCGTGAGGCAGTGACCTCTCCTCGCATCCCTGTGGGGACCAGCTCTACCTGCACCACGGCTGGTCTTGGCCTCGCCATGTTGGAGGGAGCAGGGATGGCAGTCCCCGCACTAGTTTCCGGCTGGGTCGTGGCAG